AAAGATTTTCGGCAAGTGGACCCCATCCGCTAGCTGTTTTTCTTCGGACAGCCTCTTAGCCTGCTCGAGAGTAAGTCGGAATAAGGGCAGGACGCGAATGCCTTTTTGTAGCTGGAAACGATGTAAGATTCTTCGCACCCCACGGCGGAAAGATAATGGGGAGGTAGACTTCATCCTTGCCATAAATTATTTTCTTATAATAATAATAAGGTGGATACAAAGCAAAGCTTATGCTATCAGTACAAATATTAACATTCAAACCTAGGAAGAGGTGAGAAAAATCCTGAAAATTAAGATGAATCAATAATTTTGACGAAAGTGCTCATCGTTAATTATAGCAAAACTACCTGTTTATGAAAAGTGTTACCAGCTTCGCGTTCCAGTGTTGAAACAACGATTACTACACCCGCCAGCTCTGTCTGAATATAAGTACAGTTACCTTTTGGCAGTGTGCTTTCACTGGCCCTTTCCCTGAGTGTTGTACTGCCATATTTGTAGACAGGGCACTGGACTATTCTGGCCACATGGTGATACAAGATCTTCGTCAAGCTGTATGAGCAAGTTTATCGGAGTTCCTGTCAACCTCCTGGGTGACTCCATAGGATTTAAGATCATTCTGTAACTAAGTTCGCATAAAACAAGAAATTCTTTTACACAGGAAACGCTAAATCAACACAAGAAAGCATAAATATACGTAGTTACACGAGAATCGTGTTGCTTTTACTGGGCTAAATTTCCTGCGCACAAATCGGATAAAGCGTTTGGTGCTTACGTTGTTTTCGAGCTGCTCAGTCTTTACAATTTGTATAGTTTTTCTGCGTTCCATACGTATTAGTATTCGTTTTTTTGCAGCTGGGGTTATCATGTCTTTATACGTTCCCCCGATATGCATGCTTACAGCTACAGCTGTTACTTGTAACCGATACTGTGTATTCCCGAGATCCTTATAGAAAAACGCTAGCGCCGTCGCGCTACTCTGTGTGCACGTGATTACCCCCCCCCCACTTGAACTTGTCACAGGGTGTCAAGCTTTTATCTGAATGGACTAGATCCAACTTGGCCCAGATTTCGACCGTGGGATGCCTGCGCCAGCTAGAGGGGGGATGGTATCCCCCTGTCACGGGGTGACGCCGACTAGGAACGCCTCCTGCATGTCACCTGGGGGCACATCTATGCGTGCGCTCAACGCAGAGACAGAATAGCGCGACGGCAACTTCGCGCGGCGCTAGCGTTTTTCTATCAGGGTCGAACGAAGATCCTACTGCATTGTTTGCTTAACATGTTTCATCAGTAGAGGGTAGGGAACGGATCCGTGGGCACCCCTTCTTTGCAGTCACCGTATGTTATTTGACTGGATCATTATGATAACAATAGATACTTGCATGTCTTTGTTTTTGGTCGTTTTTTTGCGCAATTTCTAGTACTTTTGGTTCAGGTGTGTAGGGCTCACATGCATATATGCGAGAAGAGCCCGCGGCTCTCTGTATCTAGGTGGTTTTCCGTATGCAGACCTACACTCTTAGGGCAGTCTTCTGTGACCTTTAGCCAAATCTTTGATTGAATTGGAAGTTGGTGCTGCAAAATGTATCGGCACGGGTCGAAACCCGTGCAGCTTGCAGTCGTCCTTTGATCGGTGTAAATTATCAAAGGGTACATTCTCAAGTTAACAATGGATTCAGCTTGTGGAGTGCCCGTGTTAACTGGGGTCGTGAGCTGTTGTAATTATATCCCGATTTGATCAGTTGCTGAGGCTCTTGTTAATCGGTCTGTGGGCATTTGAACCACTACCCCTACTATAGTATAAAATAACGTC